CTGAGTATTAGCATGACTATTGGCATTTGTATGAGTATTAGCATTTGTATTATTAGTAATCATAATATTAGTAGTGGTATTAGTAGTAGTAGTAGTAGTAGTAGTAGTCATAGTGGATTGCTGTTAGTAATATACTCAGTATTATTAGTAGTACTAGTAGCGTTACTATGCTTAGTGTTGGTAGTGTTAGTAGTATCACCATCATCGTTAGCAGTATTCGTTGTATGAATCCTTTTTATGCGTCCTAGTAGTAGTGTGTTTCGAATTCTTAGTGTTAGCAGCATTGCTCGTCGCATTCTTAGTCTTGTTACTATTATTTTGTATTATTACTATTGTTATCAGTAGTACGGTTATAAGTCTTCGTTGCATGCATATTACTATGAAAAAATATTCGTAGTCGTATTAGTGTGTGTCGACTTCGTCTTAGTATTATTAGTAGTGGTGTTATTCGTGATACTATTATGATTCGTCATATTCTTATTACTATTATCACAAGTCTTACTAATACGTAATACTCGTATTCATATGATTAGCCTTATCAATACGATTGGTAGTCGCAGTATTCGTCGTATTCGTTTTTTCTTATTTGTCTTGTCATGATTATTCTGAATATTAGGATTAATATTACCATTCGCTCTCGTACTACAGTTTACTATTATCCTTCTTATCATAATTAATATCGCGTGATCACGACTATTATCAGTGGTATTATTATTTTATTCGTACGATTATTACCATTCGTCTACTTCTCCTGATTATGATCATCATTAGTATTATCATTATTTGTGTTCCTGCTCCTCCTCCTCCTCCTCCTTCCCTCCCTCCCTCCCTCCCTCCCTGGGTATTTCGACAAGTTCAGGGGGTGGCATCTAGTGAATATCGCACCGCGATAGAGCCCATTCCATTCCATTCCATTCCATTCCATTCCCTCCCTCCTCCCTCCCCCTCCTCCTCCTCCCTCCTCCCTCCCTCCCTCCTCCCTCCTCCCTCCTCCCTCCTTCCTCCTCCTCCCTCCCTCCCTCCCTCCTCCCTCCTCCCTCCTCCCTCCTCCCTCCTCCCCCCCTCCCCCCTCCTCCTCCTCCTCCTCCTCCTCTTCCTCCTCCTCCTCCTCTTCATCCTCCTTCTGGGTTGCTGCGAAGCGCGCCACAGTCGCCACTTTTGCCGGCTCATGCCTCCAGCGCCTTGGGCGATCCGGACGGTCGCCGCCAGGCGGGCCAGCGGGCGTGCGAATGGGCAACGCGGTTGCTCAAAACGTCCGGCCGAGAAGAGTGAAAATTCTGCGGCAACCATGCCGCTCAGAGATGGTACGCTCATGGTCGTCCGGACCGCGCATGCCATTGGCGACGTGCTGCGCCATGACGTCGAACCGCCGCCAGTCGTGACGTCAGGGCAAGCGGCGCCCCGCAGCGTCCAAGGCCCGAGTCGCGTGCAAGCGCCCTGCCACCAGATCGACGACTGCCTGACCAAGGAAAGAGGGGGAGACCAAGGGGGAGGAGGTAGAAAAAAGGGGGGAGGGAAAAAGAGCAACGCCCCCCTTTTTATCCTGCCGCAGCGCAACTAACCTTGAAGGGCGCCCGCGATGAAGACATTACATGGGGAGGGTGGTTACCATGTTGTCTTGGGGGTTGCACGGGCACCTCGTCTGCCTTGCCATGTTCATCTCATCATCATCATCATCATCATCATCATCATCATCATCATCATCATCATCATCATCATCATCAGCATCATCCTCCCCATCATCATCATCATCATCATCATCATCATCATCATCATCATCATCATCATCAGCATCATCCTCCCCATCAGCATCATCATCTTCATCATCATCACCATCATTATCATCATCATCATCATCATCATCATCATCGTCATCATCATCATCATCATCATCATCATCATCATCATCATCATCATCATCAGCATCGTCATAATCACCCTCATTCTTTCGCAATGCGCATGGATCCTAGCCCGAGCATGCTCACTATATTGCCTGGCTGAGCCAGTTCAGGTCTGCCTCTAATGCTAGCGTCTCGGCATCAAACGCGGGTATGATGCCCCTCAGAAGAACACCTGCACGATGTATCGTGTTGTAGCTGTAGCGGCCGTCCGCGTGCTGCTCTGCTTCCATGACAGCAATGCCGACGGCGCCCGCCCCGTCTGAACGGAATCCGCCTTCTGTGCACAGTCGGATGTTTCTTTCACCGATCGGTGTTGGTAGGAAGTTGCACCCCTCTGACCATATTCTTCCCTCATCCATGGATACGTTGGCGCTGTGGTCTGCTGGTGAGTTGTACTCGCGGGGCGACCAAAGGATGTAGTCCAAGGCGTCGTGGAGTGGTCGGATCACTCACACATGCAATCTGACGATCAGGCGAGCGATTCGTTTTAACACAGGGACGTGTCGATCAGAATGTATCACTGCTATTCCTGCCAACGTCTCCGCCAAGGCTTTGCATTCCACTTGGATCCACAATCTCCCGCGAGAGGTCTGCCAAAAGTTGCCCAAAGGGTGCGGCAGCACCGGCGGCGGGCGATCAATTGCCGCCGGCTCCCTCGGAACGCCCATGCTGTCTCAAGGGGGTCCAAGTGCTTCACGAAGACAATCCTTGTCTCGAATCTGCGGGAGCTGCCAAGCCGAGCAGTGTAGCGATGAACTGGTCACAACCTTCCATCGATGCTGCCTGCGTTGAATGAGAATCCCAGTGCACCCTCCAATCAGGGCCGAATACTTGAACGAAAGGGGACTCCCAACTGAGCTTCTGATGACCACCGCGCGCATGCACGTAGCCTTCCTGCCGCCGTTCCGCGCGTGACCCAACAGCGCATATAGATGTCCACCAGGACTGTGAGCGGTGTTCTCGCGCGGCTGCCAGTGGATTGGGCCCGATCTTGCATGGATCAAGCTGTTCCTGCCATGCAGATTTGTATAGTGCGCAAAAAAACCTGCGATGTATCATGCTGATGTTGGCCGAGCGGAACTACTGTGTGAATATGTCGGCCGTGCGCTTGTTGAACACCATGAAGGATTCCTCTGGCCGTCGCCGGCACCTGAAAATTCGCCGGCCCAACGGGCCAGGGCGTGCTAAGATCTCCGGTAACTGGTTAACAGTATTAACAGTATTTCTAGTTCGCGCGCGCGGGGCGGCCCCTGGGGGTCCCCCGGCGAAAAGTACCCCGACCAACGCCCGACCGCCGCCCGACCAAGTCTACTCAGAGATGGTTTTCCTTCTGGGTGCGGCCTCTCAGGCTCCCCAGAGCGCGCTCAGAGTGCCCCAAGAGGCCCCCAAGACTGCCCAAGAGGCCCCCGAGACGCCCAAAGAGCGCTCGAAGACGCCGAAGATGACCCCAAGACGGCCCAAAAGGCCCCCAAGACAGCCCAAGAGGCCTCCAAGACGCCCCAAGAGCCTTCCAAGAGGCCTCCGAAGAGAGCCCCAAGAGGCCAAAATCGTTGATTTTCATTGGTTTCTTCGATGTTTTTTGTGTTCTGGCTTTTTCTGCTTCCGGACGCTCCAAGACGGCCCAAGAGGCCCCCAAGACCGCTCCAAGACGGCCCACGAAGCTCCCAAGACGGCGCCGAAACGACCCAAGAGAGCCCTCAAGACGGCCCAAGTGCCGCCCAAGACGGACCAAGAGGCCCCAAGACGGGCCCAAGAGGGACTCAGGAGGGATACCGAGAACTCAAAAATGGAGCCCTCCGTCCCAGAAGGCGCCCAGGAGGTCCCAAAGAGGCCCCAAGAGGCCTCCAAGAGGCCCCAAGATGTCGCCAAGAGGCCCCAGGAGACTCCCAGGAGGCCCAAAAGAAGCCCCAGAAGGCTTCAAACATGTCTCCCAGGCGCCCCCGAACGGCCTCTCAACAGACCCCAAGAGGCCCCCCAAAGAAGCATCTTGACGACGACTCTATTTCGCCCCATCGAGAGACGACCCCCAGGGAACTGCTTCACCATCAAAACTCCCCACGCAACGCGTCCGAACGACACCCGCCCCCAAGAGCGCAACATGGGCAACGAACACACAGACAAAAACCAGCGATGCCATATCACGGGCCGGCGGAATGAGCGAAGCGATTCAATAATTCGAAGTTTGCCGAGCTCCCATCTTCGGGCAGGTCGCAGAAGACCAGCCGATACATACTATGATTGTGCGCCGAATACTGCCGACGTCGCTGGGGAAGCATGCCAAGCCCGCAAACGCGGCATCACCGGCCCTCGAGCCTTCAAGAGGTGAGCGTGCCGGTAACTCAGACTGTCTGCTGTTGCCGCCCTGTTAAGAAAACTGACGTTTGTACTCCCACAGGCGTCAAGTAATTCACCGAGCAGTTCAAGCCTCTCCACTTGTTCGTACCTGGTGCTGCGCCCCGCCTGCTGGACAACCAAAGGTAACGCAAAACGTCGACCAGCCTCCGGCACCGCCGTCAGCACCTGCAAGGAAGACGGTTTCCAAAGCAATCTCCCCGATTCCACTGCCCCATCGTTATCATCATCATCATCATCATCATCATCATCATCATCATCATCATCATCATCATCATCATCATCATCATCACCACAATCACCATCATTATCACCCTCACAATCACCATCATCATCAGCATCATCATCATCATCATCATCGTTATCATTGTCATCATCATCATCATCCTAATCAGCATCATCAGAAGCAGTATCATCACCATCATCATCAGCATCATCAGCAGCATCATCATCATCGTCATCATGCTGCTCCTCCTCATCATCATCAGCATCATCAGTATCATCATCGGCATCATCATCGGCATCATCATCAGCAGCACCATCATCATCAAAAGCAGCATCAAGAGGAATAATCATCAACATCATCATCACCACCACCATGATCCTTATCATCATCAGCAGCAGCAGCAGCATCATAATCATCATCAGCAGCAGCATTATCAGCAGCATCATCATCCGCCTCGTCCTCTACTAGAGCGTCATCGTGTTACCCTCCCATGCTGTCCAAATAGATCATCCCTTCTCCAGTCCTGTATCATGTCTTGGATCTTTTGCTGCAGCCGATGCTTGTCGAGGTACTCTTTTGCAGCAGCCCCAGCTTCCTCGCGCGCACAATCGGCATGCACAAACTCATCGCCGCCTAACAATCACTCCTCTGAGTCCAGGAAAAAAAGATCCCCACTTCACGGACATCAAGCTATGTCAAACTGGCACGAGAGCCCCCGAGGCCGCTCCATGAGTACTGCACCAGGCACCCAGCTGAGATCGTATCGTCGCAACATGGATGCTGCGCTCCGCTAATGCGGCATTCCTTCACGGAACGACTCGACGAATGCCCCACCGATCTCTGATTCTCCCATTGCTCCTCCTCCTCCTCCTCCTCCACCTCCTCCCGCTCCTCTCTTACTCCTGAATCCACCTCCTGCTCCTCCTCGTCTGCCCGTTCCTCACACTGCTCCTCCTCGCCAGATCCCGGAGCGCCAAGACTTCCCGGGGGGAGAGGGATGAGGAAAAAGACTGGGAGAATGACGCATGCTCTTCTCGCCTCCTCCTCCTCCTCCTCCTCCTGCTCCTCCTCCTCCTACGCCCCGCTCTGGCGGCCTCACACGCGGCTGCCGCCGCGCCGGCGCCTCCTGCTTCTCTCGTTCCTCCTCGTGTGTGAGCATGGCTTCAGTGGCTTTGATGGACCATCCGACGGCACGGCGAGGAAAACGGACAACACGAGTTGGAGGAGGGGGGAGGAGGGGGGGGGGCTTCCCGAAGCCAACGCTGTCGGAGGGAGGAAGAGTGAGGATCGGATCGGATCGGATCGCCTGTGCGGGCATGCGCCCGCGCCCCTGAAGGGCGAGGCGGGCGAGGCCATGGCATCGCATGAGAGGCAGCCCGCGTCGGACTCTTGCTCAGGATAATGCGTACCTAACGAGTTGATGTTCCAATTGTTCCCACCCCTCTGTTGTAATCCGATGTAGTGACGTAGCTTCGTGGAAGTCGGCGGCAGAGGGCTTTTTGACTTGAGATCGTCGCATGCCACAGCCTGACGCGTGAGGCAGGGGGAGGAGGGAGGACGCAGCGAGCAGCAAAACGCACGTGATCTCCGAGCGGTTGGACCACGGGAGACATGGCTCGCCCACCTCTCTCGGGACGCGAGGTGGTGCATCTGCGAGTCGCTGTGCGTGTTGGGTACGGACGGGCTCGATTTAAGTATGGGGCGGAGGCCAGAGTGCGGATATGACGCTGGGGTGCCTTCGATGTCCTGCTTATCTCGTCTTGTGAACCGTCGTACACCGACGCTTCTGTGTGTGCATGTGTGGGAGGCAAGGGGGGGAACTGCGTCGGAATGAGCAGGGGCCCTGAGGCACAGCTCGACGTGACAGCCGAAGATGCGGCAATATCGGATGTATACGCTTCATGTGTGCGGTCGAAGGCGTCAGCTTGGAGGTGTAGGGCGACGAGGAGAATCCAACCCACGTCAAGCATTACTGTCCCCAACAGCCACCTTGATGCGGTAGATATGCGACTGTATCCGCGCAGGGGCAGGTGTTGTCGATCAGAGGTTGGGAGGTGAGACCGAAGTGAAACGTGAAATGCCCCAACCAGGAAATCATTGCGTTTCGTTCGTGACGCGCGTGCGGGCGTGGCGAATCTGTGCGAATTCCGCCCACAAACCTAAACTCTAAACCCTAATTTATAAACCCTAAACCCTAAACCAATGAGGAAATCGTTGCGTTTCGTTCGTGACGCGTGTGCGGGCGTGGCGAATCTGCGCGAACTCCGCCCTAGTAGGGGCCATACCAACATGTTGCACACTGGGTCCAAATTTCTTGTCCCTCGTGGCCCCGGGGTTATCCCGATAGGCCAATACACACTGGTTTCTAGCCGAACGGTCACTCACTGTCCCTGGGTGCGTGGCTGACGTGGGCTTCCGCGAATCAGATTGCTATGGTTGTTGTTGCTGTTGTGGTTGTGGTGGTTGCTTTTGCTGTTTGCCGTTTGTTGTTTGTTGTTTGTCGACGTCCCGCCCGCGCCCCGGCCCGCGGCCCACCCGCGACCCACCCGCGACCTACTCGCGACCCACCCGCGACCAACCCGCGACCCACTCCGCGATCTACCCTGTAAATGTATGTGCGTGTGCTTGTGAACCCAACGCGACCCCAAGTAGTGTGAGGCGTCCTTAGCGGCATCGCTCGGCATTGCTTCCCCAGGAGGAGCGCTTCAATAGGAAAAACACAATGGTTACCGGAGACGGAACCAACAGTAACTATTATTCAGAAGTGGATTTGCAACACCACCACCACCACCACCACCACCACCACCAACAACAACAACAACAACAACAACAACAGCAACACCAACAAACAATACAACAAACAACAAATAAGAAACAGCACACAACAAACAACAATAACAACAAACAACAACAACAATAACAACAATAACAACAACAATAACAACATCAACAACAACAACAACAACAACGATAACCCTCACAAAATCAACAACAACATCAACAACAATAGTAACAACATAAACAACCACAACCACAACACCAACACCAGCACCAGCAGCAGCAGCACTACCACCAACAACAACAACAAATGGGCGGGTCGAGCAGGCGGGTTGCTGAAGCGTGAGTCCTGCATGACTCGTAAAGGAGTTTCGAGCGATAGCGCGATTCTCTTTTAACTAATGCAAGAAGCCAGAGCGAGAGTGTGATTCCTGAGTGACAGAGGCGAGGCGTTTCAATCAATTGCGAGGAAATCCCGCGCGAGAGCTCAATTCCTACAAACATTGTGAAGAAGTCCCGCACGAGAGCGCGATTTCTGAATACATTGTGAGGAACTACCAGACGAGGGGCCAACAACCCAGGTTGGTGACCCCAAACGTTCCCTGCTAAAAGACAAGATGCGAGCCCTGGGAGGGGCACCTCACTTAGAGAATATAGCATGGTGAAGGACCCAACCATTTGCACTTGTGAATACTGCAATTGTGCATGTTGTCATCGGTGGAGCTCCCTATGAAGCAACGAAACGTGCGAGGGGTGTGCTGACATTAGCGCAGCGGGCGCATGCGAACGCAGCCACAGGGGCCTTCGCATGAGCTCCCTATGGGGCCATAAAACGTATGAGGGATGTGCCGAAATAGCTGCGGCAGGCACGTGCGAAGGAGCCACTGGGACCTTCGGAAGAGCCCCCAATGGGAACACGAAGCGTGTGAGGGGTGTACCAAAGTGAGCGCGGCGGGCGCATGCGAGCGCGACCATTTGGGCCTCTGGTAGAGCTCCCTATGGGGCCTCGAGGAATGTGATGGGGTATGCCGAAGTGGGCACGACGGACACACGAACGCAGCCACTGTAGCCTTCGGTGGGGCTCACTATGGGGCCACGAAACGTGCGGGGTGTGTGCTGAAATGCGTGCGGAGCGGCATGCAAAAGCAGCAACTGGGGCCTTCGGTGGAGCTCCTTGTGGGGCCACGAAGCGTGTGATGGGTGTGCCGACATGGCTGCGGCGGGCGCATGCGAGCGCAGCCACTGGGGCCTTCAGTGGAGCTCCCTATGGGGCCACGAAGCGTGTGAGGGGTGTGGCGCAATGGGTGCGGCGGGCGCACGCGAGCGCAGCCACTGGTGCCTCTGGTGGAACTCCCTGTGGGGCCATGAAGCATGTGAGGGGTGTGCCGACATGGCTGCGGCGGGCGCATGTGAGCGCAGCCATTGGGGCCTTCGGTGGAGCTCCCCATGGGGCCACGAAGCGTGTGATGGGTGTGCCGCAATGGGTGCGGCGGGCGCATGCGAGCGCATCCTCTGAAGCCTTCGGTGGAATTCCACGAAGCGTGTGAGGGGTGTGCCGACATGGGTGCGGCGGGCGCATGCGAGCGCAGCCTCTGGGGCCTTCGGTGGAGCTCCCTAAGGGGCCACTAAGCGTGTGAGGGGTGTGCCGCAAATGGCGCGGCGGGCGCATTCGAGCGCATCCTCTGAAGCTTTCCGTGGAGTTCCACGAAGCGTGTGAGGGGTGTGCCGACATGGACGCGGCGGGCGCATGCGAGTGCAGCCACTGGGACCTTCGGTGGAGCTCCCTATGGGGCCACGAAGCGTGTCCGGGGCGTGCCGAAATTGGTGCTGCAAGCGCACGCGATCGCAGCCAGTGGGGCCTTCGGCGCAGCTCCCGCTGGGGCCATGAAATATGTGAGAAGTCTGCCGAAATCATTGACTGATGCGGGGAGCAGGGGCAGGAATCAACCAACACGACGACCCAACGCCACAGGATGGTTGGGAAATACAATGATCACTGAGGGGGAATCAACAATCAAGAATTTCCAGGAATGAAAATTCAACAACAACAACAACAACAACAACAATCACTTTACCCGAACGCTCAGTGTTCTCACCAGTGCCAGGGTTTTCATGCGACGCCAGCCAATACCCCCACTTTGTGGGGGGGCAGTGCAAGCTCTACCAAATATCCACACGACTCTTCGCCACCACCCACACCCAGCTTCCCGCCCTATGACGTTCGGACACTTCACTTCGTGGCCTGCGGACGACCGTGGCTACTACACTGGCGTGGAGTACACACCCACAGAAGTTGTTAAGCCTACGTTCGTACACCCACAGAAGTTGTTAAGCCTTGTTAACCCACTGGTTTTTTTAGGATTCGGACAGCGCGCGCGGGTGGAAATTTTGAAAAGTCGTGCAGGTGTTTTTCGAGGACCTACGGTGCGATTCGTGTGATTTTATGATGCGCGGTGCTAAAATTCTTAAGAACCCAATGGTTTTTGGAGATTTCGGCGTGCGCGCGCGAAGAAAAAACGAATGTGTCCCGCATGGTATTATTTGACAGGGATGATGGCCCTGGCAGGTGCGCAACCGTTGTCGCAGAAGTTCGAAAAAGTTGCTCGCAAAAGCCCGTTTGACAGAAATGTTTAAAAAGTGTTGGGTTTCCTACGAATCCGCAAGAGCGCGCGGGATGAGATTTTGACATTTTTTTGTTGAAAAACCATTGGTTTTTTGATGTTTTTATGTTAAAATCGCTCCGAACACTAAGCTTTTGGAAGGATTTCGTCTTGCGCGCGCGAATGTCCACTTTACCTTATTTTTTGCAAGGGATTC